AACATAACTTTTCTCAGCATAACTAGTTAGTACCTATCCTCTTCATCAGGGGTGTCAAACTCGCATTGTCACGTTGTCATCGTCATGTGATGTATTGCAACTATTTTCCCCTTCACTAAACCGGGGGTGGGCATGGCCAGCCTGTGATGCATCCAGCATGTGGGCCGCAAGTTTGACACCCCTGATGAAGAGGATAGGTACTAACTAGTTATGCTGAGAAAAGTTATGTTGTACCTACCTTCTAAAAATTAAAGATCTTGGTGTGAATGAAGGTCAACAGCAGCTAAATAGCTGGCAATTAGGATTTCATGTTGATGGGTATAGGACAAGTGGATAGAAAAACCAAATCCAGACTAAATATCTGATTAACTTTGTGATCAAGCTTAATAATTAAATAAATGGACAGGCTTAAAGAACTTCTGTCAGACAAAATAACTTATACAGGAAGGATTAAATAAATTTCACCACACCTGATTAATCTGTCAAGCTAGCAAGGAACATATGCTTCCTCTGCCATATCTGTTTGGTGGGCCAGTCACATTTATGCATATTTCCACTATTATAACTGTAATATTAGATATTACCAATGGCTATAATCCTATAAGTAGAGAATGGGAGATCTCCTTTCTTCTTTACAGTGATCTATTCCATCTATGACTATTTTGTAGACTATTTTGGAACCATAAAGGTGATGCAAAGACATCTACCACACAATCTAGTGGGGTTATTGTGAGAAGGAATAACCAGCTTTTATTTTTGTGCTTTGGAAATTTAAAGAGCATCATGCAAGCAAATAAATACTAATGTGTACACTGAAAGTTGTCTCCGTTTGAATAGCTAACAGTTTCATAATTATTATTTTTAACCTTTCCCTGTTGCTATTTTTCCCCTAATGACCGATGGAGTCTCTGCTTGTTGGTATTTTTCCCATTTCGCTACTCTAATCTTTTCTCATTTTGTGTAAGAATAGCAACTCCATCTGGGAAAACAATAGAACGACAGAATTTGTCAAGCGTGCAAAATGGAAAAAAGAGACAATTGGATGGTTGAAATACAACATGGGGGAATTGGGAGGGTGGTTTTTAATTGGAAAGATGCTCTGAGGAATCTGGGAGTTAATTTTGAAATCTGGGTCCAGAGAAGAAATGGACTTATTCACAACACAGACATCCAGAAATTATCTTCTTCTGGTTTTCTACCTACATTTAGCAAAATGTCACTATATTTCCCTCAGGGTTGTTGAGGGCGCCCCCCTCCCTTAAAATAGACAATGTTCCATTTTGAAACCTTGATAGCTCGGCTCAGCTGTTCCTGGTTACTGTTTCCATGTACTTTAAAAGGAGAACTAGCTATTTGTTTTGAAATAAGAATAGTGGGTTAACCAGAAAAGTATTTTTCACGGCCTCTCTAACAGGTTCACCCGACATTCTGAGTTCAAACAAAACAAATAGACTGGCTTCATCCAACATTTTTCATCAACTGTCAGCTATAATTAAGTGCACATGTGCAATATCTACCAACATGGAACATTTGAGCTTTTGAACTCTGAACATATAAATCAATCAAAAACACAATACATTTTCTATTAATATAAACAGTTTTTAATACCAATATAGGGCATTGTTTAGAAACATTTCTAGGAAAATATGAATGTATCATAATCAAGACAAGAAAATTGATACTCATACTATAGACAACTCATGGGAGGATTTAAAAGAGAGAGAAATGGAATTTCTCAAGAATATCACATAATGTGCAGAACAGGAAGTTTAAGTAAAGAAAATTGCCTAAAGAATACAGTCTGCTAATGGGTTACATTTCTTAGCATTTCCAGATTTGTAAGGCGTGGATTCTTTGATGGTGAAAACAATCCTGAATGTGTATTTATTTATTGTCCCTTTGAGTTAATTTTGACTCCCAGTGCCTGCCTGGACTAGCCTCTGTGGTTTTCTTGGCAAGACTTTTGGAAATGGCCTTGTCCCTGTCTTCTTTGTAGGATTAGTTGCGCACCTAAGTTCACCCACCTGACCTTGTGCCTAAGACAGTACTAGAACTCACAGTCTCCTGGTGTCTAATGAGGTGCCTTAAGCACTACAACAAACTGGTTCTTGACTAATGTTACTAGAAATCTAATTTTGTAATTAACACTGCTAACTTGTTGATAAAATATGTTTTACGTAAAGAATTAATATTTGCTTCAAGTTACAAGTTACATAATTACACACACACACACACACACACACATACATTCAAGGGTAAATTCTTATTGGGCTATATACCTTTGAGTTGAAACATATGAGCCATTAATTAGCAATTTTATTTAAAAAAGGAAGCCGATGTCTAAAGCTGATGAATTCAGCTGAATATGTTCTGTTCTGCTATCCTGTTTATAGTATAATTTTCAAAGCCTTAAATGATCTTGAACTCCTTTTGTAGTTTCCACTTGGAAAGTCAAGCTGGAAGTTTGAATTATAGTCATAGGTGATATTTTTAAAAATCAGCCATGGAAATCAACCCACTTCTTTGTTATACTTTCTGAAAGATCCTTCATTTGGGATAAAAATATCTGGAGGTATTGGGGTTTTCCAAATTCTTGTTTCCATAACTCTTGGAGCATAGACAAGTTTTAGCAATAGATAATACTCTGGTTTTGGTGTTCTCCTGAGTCCTGACTAATTTAAAGGTCATGCACCACATATTTGGATTGGGTCATCCAGGACATTTATAGTCAACAATTCTCACCAATTGTTACTCAATGCACTAAGCATGGCACCAAACTAGATGGGTCCATGGGTCTCCACTGGAGGACTCAGGGGCAAATGATGACATGTTTACAATGGCATCACACAAATGCTGTGACATGTGCCAGTTGTTGGAAAGCAAGTCTGTAGTAGTGGCATTTAAATCATGGTATTATTTTTGATATCATCATGGTTTGCTGAGGACACCACCACTGATCTCCAAGGTCACTTCCAGTCCTTACGTTCAATAATTCCATGAAATAAAGGAGGAGCTATAAAAATTATGCCTTAGAATGTGGTTCTATATGACACCCTGGCGTTTGCATGGCTCCAATTCATACACTTCTAAAGTTGCTCCCAAAAATTCTGCCTAAGATGAAGGTCACTTGATTTTGCAGTCGGATATCTTCAAGTTGGAGGTAGGAAGCTGCCACTCAAACAATTATTTTGCTTAGCAATGGAAATTTTGGGTTCAATTGTGGTTGCAAGTTGAGGATTACCTACAATTGCAGATGCTGTGGTTCTCTACAACTTCTTATTCTGTGCTACATATGTGCATATATGTTCCTCCATTTACAAATGCCTACAAGATAATATAGCAAGGTACTGTATATTTAATTGGGAGTCTTCATTAGCAAAGCAGATCAAACTGATTTTTTACTCCTTTAGCATTAAAGTTGCTCTAAATCTTTTCCTTTCAATACAGAACACCAATTGTAAGCCTTCCATGGGTGATCTTGAAGAAACATAAAAAGAACATTCTGTTACTCTTAGAATGTCAGTTGTAGCCAAAGTCCTGTGATCATTTTTTTTTTTTTTTTGTAACAGAGCCCCATTACCGAAGAGAAGGTTCAAAGGATGAAAGAACAATTGATGTCAACCTACGATGTAACTAATGATGGACGGTTGCAAATACAAGAGGTGCCTCTTTTCTTCTTTTGGGACTTTTAGAAAATAGCATAGATAATTGAACACACCCAAGAGCCAGTTTTAATAATAGGAATTTCTTGTACCTTAGATATCGCTGCTGTTTTCTCATTTCAGTCATACTTGATTCCTATTTTTGGCAAAAGTCCCACAAAAAATGTTGACAAGACATTTATTTATTTATTTATTTATTTATTTATTTATTTATTTATTTATTTATTTATTTATTTATTTATTTATTTATTTATTTATTTGACTTATA